TTTTGATTTTTTTATATGATTTTTAGGGTCCGCAGATTATATGATTTTTTTTGGTGTATGATTTTTTGTATTTTTTATATGATTTCGTATTTTGTACACGATTTTGTATTTTGTGTAGATTTTGTATATGATTTGTATATGATTTTGTATATGTACAGATTATATGATTTTTTTTTTAGGGTCCGCAGATGATTCGTTTATTCGCCTAACACAGCTAAATGAGACTGAAGATGATGATGATTCATTTGATGTTTCGGCGCAAAGTTTTCGGCCATCGCTCGAGCCAAAAAGCAATCTTGGCCCTCCGGCTGATATCACTGTTGCCGCCGACAATTCACGTGGGCCGAGATTAGGTATGCTCAGTGGTGAAAATGAAAAATTCGTGTTATTTTCAGTGCGTCTTTGGTAATAAAAAAATTTTCCTTGATACCTCCGTGTTGGCGCGTATCGTGGCCAAAGTAGCCTTCAAAAGTTCAAAAGCCTTCAAAAAACTTCAAAAGAAGCCGCCACCGACGGCCCTGCCATCCGGGTTGTTTCTAAGCGCGTTGTTCTCTTATTAAATATGAAATAAAAATACCTTTCGAAGCTTTGACTGATCGATAACTAGCTGATTTTTTTAATTTCCAGATGTTCCCGAAATGTCCAGAAAAAGACATATTGATAAACGTGCTACAGCTGATACTGCTACAAAAAAACGACCAACGCCCAGCGTTTTTGAGCAGTTTGCCTTCAAAGTTATACCTCATGATTCTTCACCATCCATATTGGAGCGAAATCATCCATCTAAATCCAATAATACTGCAGAAAATGCTTCGAGGTCGGATGAAGATGAAGCTGATTTCAGGTCACTGTTTTGCAAAAGATACAAAAAAAAATTAATACTTTTATAAAAATGTTGTGGGCTTTTTGATTATGGATTTTCGTTTTTGCAACTGCAGAGGGGAAATTCCGGTAAAAAAAAAATCCGAAATACCGATTATTACGATTATTTATTCAGAAATTCCGATTATTTTAATTCTAAAATTCCGATTATTTCTGCTAATATCTTGGTTTTTTAAACAGCTGGGAAACAACAGTCGAAGTTTCCTCTTTCTTTTACTATTTAAATAAGGACTTTTGCTGGCGTCTATCTAAAAAAAAATCATAATCACATCTTTAAAGCTTTTCATTCTTTAATCATCTATTTCCTGCAACGGTGCTTAAAAGCAAGCATAAGTGTTGGAAAGAGTAATATTACTGCTAGCAAAGTGCAGTGACATAATAATAAATGAAGTAAAATGGGGGTTGGAAGGAAGTATATGGCAAGGTCGTGTCATGTGTCTAGAGATGTAGCGTATTTAAGCCAACGTCCTAAAAGAAAATAGAGGAATAGAATAGTCGTATATGTACGTATAATATTCTGGAAAGGAGCCAAATTTTGCAGCTTCATTTAAGCTAACCGATATTTAAATTGGGTGACGTCTGTATTTCATAAGGCAACTGCATGGCTTCTGCCAGTTCCAGTTAGCGACAACTTATAGTAAATGGGAAATATTAATGAAAATTTTGAGCAAAATAGCATGTTTTTTCTATTAATTAAACTTTCAGCCTTAATATTCGGGTTAAAATCGCTTAGGAGAATACTATAGCTTTTTTTTTACTGAAAGCCTTTTTTTTTCTAGGCAAAGTTCATTACGGGCTGTAGCGGAAAATGCGTCCAGAAATGTAGACACTGAACTTTTGCCGCAAGACGATCCCAATTTCTCGGAACTCAGTGATGACGATGATGCGCAAGTTACAGCTGTGAAGAGTGAACATATTGAGGTGTATATTTATATATAAGCATACGGATATGGACTGCACTGATTGTTCCACCGTTTATTATGCGTTTTTTGCAGCAATGCAATGTGGAAAACGCATATTGACGAGAGGTGTCTGTGTGTATCTGTATGTGTTTGTGTGTGTGTGTCTGTGTGTGCGCAGGGCCTCTGTACCGATTTTCCATCTCGAGGCCTACAAAAGCCACAGGGCTGAAACTTTGGGGACTTAATCTACATGCACGTACGGGCCTCCATCTCTAAAACGGGTGGTCTTACCCGCATCGTACCCACGTAAGAGCCCGCCAAAACTTTTTGCGGGTAAGCTGCTAATTCG